ATGAAGGCCCTAAGAATAAAATGTGAATGGAGTCATTCTCTTTCCAGACTCAAGCATCATTGTTGTTATTGCAAGGTGCCACATGACCACAATTAAGTGTTCTAGACTTCCAGTTCTTCACAACACTGTTCATAATTTGTTGTAATGCACACTGTCTAATGTGTTTGCATAATCAATCAAGCATAGGTAGACATCTTTCTAATATTCTCTGCTTCCGGCCAATTCTGACGGCTCTGAACCATGACATACCTCTTTCCATGTCCTTTTCCAAATCTGGCTTGGATTACTGGCAGCGCTCTATCAGTGCACTTTTATAATCATTTTTAAATTAATTTAGCATAATGCTATTATTAATGATGTTGTTCGATAATTTCTGCATTCTGTTGGATATCCTTTCTTTGGAATGGGCACAAATATTTATCTCTATCACTTGATGGCACTTAAGGACAACAACCAGTCTGTTGATCAGTTAGCTGTCTTCCAAATTTTTCAGCATAAATGAATGAACATCTTTACTGGTATATCAGTTTGTTGAAATATTTAAATTGGTATTCTGTCAATTCCTGGTGCCTTGTTTTTCACTAATGCCTTCAGTGCAGTTTGGACTTCTTCCTTTAATATCATTGGTTCTTAATCATATGCTACCTTCTGAAATGGTTGAAGATTAACTAACTTTTTTTGGGTACACTGTGTTCATTTCTTCCATCTTCTTTTGCTACTTCCTTAATAGTAGCTTAATATTAAGCTTCCTTAATATTAAAATAAATATTAGCTTAATATTTTTCCCATGAAATCCATCAATAGTGCTAATCTAAGCATGAAGTTTTTTTCTTCATATATTTCAGCTTCAGAAATTCCAAGTTTGTCCTTTCCATTTGGTTTACTAATTCTAGCTCTTTACACATTTGATTATAATACTTTGTCTTCCTGAGCTGCCCTTAAAATTTCCTGTTCATCTTTTTTTCTTCATCATTTCTTCCTTTTGCTTTAGCTATTTTACATTCAAGAACAAGTTTCAGAGTCTCTTCTGACATCCATTTTGACCTTTTCCTTCTTTCTTGTCTTCTTAATGACTCTGCTTTCTTCATGTATGATATCCTTGATGTCATCCTATAACTTATCTGGTCTTTGGCCATTAATGTTCAATGCATTAAATTGAAGTTGGGATGGTCTCTAAAGTCAGCTAGAACATAGTCAAAGTCAAACTTCTGCTATAATGAACTTATTTCAATTCTCTTCTGCTTCAACTTGAATTTACCTTTAAGCAAATGATGGTGTGTTCTGCAGTAGATCCACGGTCTATTCTGACAGATGATATTGAGCTTCTCAGTCATCTCTTTGCACAACTGTAGTCAGTTTGATTTCTGTGCATTCCATCATGTGAGGTGCATGTGCATAGTTGCCATTTATGTTGCCGAAAAGATGTTTGCAAAATCATTGGTCTTATAAATTCTGTCATGCAATCTGTGGCTTGGTTTCTATCAACATGGCCATACTTTTCCACCATATATTCTTTGTTTTTAACTTTTGTATTTCAATTACCAGTAAGTATCAATGCATCTTAATGGCATGCTTGATCAATTTCAGATTGAAGATTTGGTGAAACTCTTCAGTGTTTTCATCTTTGACTTTGGTCATATTAGTCATATAGTAATATATAGTCATGGTCACTGATCTTACTTGTAAGTGTATGGATATTACCCTGTTACTGACTGCCTTATGTCTCAGGATAGATCTTGAAATATTCTTTTTAGTGATGAATACACCTTAGTTCCTCTTTGTTATTCTCAGCATTACTATGATTATCTGATTTTAAATGGCCAGGTACAGTTCATTTGAGCTCACTAATGTCTAGGATAAGGAGTTCTGGTAGCATAATGGGTTATGACTTGGGCTGCTAACCGAAACGTCAGCAGTTCAAATCCACTAGCCACTACTGCAGGAGAAAGATAAAGCTTTCTGCTCTCATAAAGATTTATAACCTCTGAAATCCTCTGTAGGATCACTGGGAGTCAGAACCAACTAGACAGCACACAGCAGCAGTTGCAATTCCTGGAATGTCAATCTTCACCCATTCTCTTTCATTTTTGACAACTTCCAGTTTTCCTAGATTCATATACTCATGTTCTGATTATTAATAGATGTTTTCAGCTGTTTTTTATCATCTGGTGTGGTGTCACATCAGCAAATGAGTTTCCTGAAAACTTTGCTCCATCCAAGTCATTAAGGTCAACTCTACTTTTAGTAAGCAGCTATTCCTCAGTTGTATTTTCAATGCCTTCTAACTCGAGGGGCTCATCTCCCAGCACTATATAAGACAACACTCCACTGGTTTTCAGTGGTCAACTGTTTTCAGAAGCAGAGTACTACATTCTTTTCCCCAGTCTATCTTAGTTGGGAAGCTCTGCTGAAATCTGTCCATCATGGGTTTCCCTACTGGTATTTGAAATATCAGTTGCTTAGCTTCCAGAATCTCTGCAACAATTACATGCAAGCCACCACAGTATGAGAAACTTACATGTTAGTGATGGTATCAAACATTTGTTCCCACTATACCATCTCCCCTACAATGCTCCTTCCACTCCACAGTCCCTGACACAAATTGCAACATCTAGTCATCCCTATGCACCTATTGTTCCTAAAGATGGTAAATTCATTGTGTCTTTCCTTTTGTCTATTGAAATAAACAACCCTATAGTCTCTTATGGACTCTTGTAATAGAACCTGTCTATGAAACTCCCACACCAGGCAAAGCAGATCAGTTCTTTTTCTTTGTTTCCACTGTGCTTCATATAACCTAATGCTTTTATCACAGTCCTATGTATTGCAAAAGGCAAGGGCTTGAGAGTTCTAAATAGAAGGCCACATTCTGTCTCCCTTTGGGTACACTACATGATTTGGGGTAAATTCATTGAACTTTTGTGATCCCTACTTTTCTCATCTATTCAGAGATTTATGAGGGTTAGATAATATTATAAAACACATTAAATTTTTTTTTTTTTTTTCCTTCCTGATGGGCTCAGTTTTTTGAGCAGAGGGACTTTTTTTTTTTTTTTTCTCTCATTGCAAATAATTTGTACTCAGTATTTTTTGGTTAAATTAATGCATATATCCATAAATAAACAAATGAATTAATGCCCTCATGAAAACAGTTTGTAAGCCACTTCCATCTAAACAATACAAAAAAATGTTTACTTGGAAACTTTAACAGATACCAAGACAGATACTTAAAGTGATGGCTTAAATTTATATTTGGTCACTCAGTCTCTTTCTTCCCCCTTTCTCCTGGTCACAGAAATAAGCATATTACTCAGCCAAGAGAATCAGATTTGAATCAAAAGATGAAGCACACAGAAACAAAAGACAGATGAGTCTGAATCGTCTGATGGCAGTGCCCTGAGACATAAATTCCTATTGCTGAGATCTCTGGAGATATCCTATTTCTCACCCTTTCATGGGTCTAATTTTTCATCAATTTATTTAATTCTCTGAGCTACTTCAGTTACTATTGCTTGCAATAAGTCAACATTAAGAAGCACAGTGTAGTAAAATAGTAATTTATTTATAAAGACAACACATACCCCTGAGAAATTAGGGAATGTAAAATTATATAACAAATATGTGTATGTATGCCAAATTAATTTTTAAAAATAACTCATCTACTGAAGTAATTTCAAAAAAGGCAATATTATAAAATCATTTTCTTTAATCATGTTCTCTCTCAGTCCCTCTCTTTTTGTTTCTCCTTTCTAAAGTTCAGTTACACTAAGGAGTTAATTGTTCTCTTGCTCAGTAAGGTCTCTGACATGAGGGATTAATACCCAAAGGAAGACCAAGGTTATTTAAAATCCCCTGTGTTTGGGGAAGGCTGTATTTCCTGGGGTTGGAGAGGAAATTATTGTAAGGGAGCTTAAGCAGATTTGGATTTGTGAGATTCTATTTGAAAGTGATTGAAAAAGAGAAGGATTAAGTATATCTTCCTGTGGAATACAGGCTGATGGGGACTTGGGGGAAAGGAAAGAAAAATATCACTCAGTAGCATCAGGCTTGTATGTTCCCTGTTTTCCATGTAAGTGCTCAAATTTTGTTCTCTTGTTCTCACTCTCCCCCTCCACTTACAATAACAACAACAGATATGGATATAGATAAGGTCTTAGACAGTAGCATTCATGGTTCATCTATAGCTAAAGATCTTACTGGACAAAATAAAACCAGTAGAAATAGATGCCAGACTATCTCAAAATATGGACATTGAGAGGCTCTCTACTCTCCCTGCCACTGTGTTTTCTGGTGCTATAAAATTAGAGTATTGCTTAACCTGGACCTGGTTAGACAATTACATGCTGTGGAGACTTAGAGGAAGGCAACCAGTTACTTATGTGTACTCAATTTGGGGTACTCCAGAGCATATGGACCCTGTGAATCTAATTTTCTATTCATTAAGCATTATCTACTACCCTTCTTTTGTCTAGTTTTTCATTGTTGATCCTCATAGCATGGTGGAGAATATGAGAAAGATATTATTTTGTATGTATGACCTATGTGATCATAAATGATTCTAGGGTAGTTAATATAGACACATTTCCAGATGACTACAAGAAACTGGAATAAGACTTTTTAATAATGATATTGAGTCATTATACTTTTTCCTTCAGAATTCCAAAGTAGCATTTGTGTACATGAAGATATATGGTCGAGACTGAATATTCTCATATTTTGAAGATTTTTGATAATGTGTATCTTTGGGATGAGAGTGTTACTGTAAAATCTCTGCCATTAGACTGCACAGCAGAGAGAGATCCAGTATGGAGAGAGAGGCAGATCAAGACAGGCATCAGGAAGTACTTTTCTGATTCAAATGTTTATATTAAAATTTTTTAATCTTATGAGAGAACTTGTCACTTTCCCATTTCATTGATCTAAACATAGATCATTTAAATACATACTGAATTTAATCACAAACATTTTTCTACAGATAGCCAAGAGGTGATTCTTCCATAAAAATGAGAAATCACACAATGGTGACTGAATTCATCCTGCTGGGAATCCCTGAGACAAAGGGACTTGAGACAGTACTTTTTTTCCTCTTCTCATCATTATATTTATGTACCCTCTTGGGGAATGTGCTCATCCTTACAACCATCCTCTCTTCCCCTCTGCTTCACTCTCCTATGTATTTTTTCTTGGGTAACCTCTCAGTGTTTGACATGGGTTTCTCCTCAACCACTGCTCCCAAGATGCTATTGTATCTCTCAGGACCAAATCAGATTATCTCTTTTCAGGGCTGTGTGTCCCAACTCTTCTTCTATCACTTCTTGGGGTGCACCGAGTGTTTTCTATATACTGTGATGGCCTATGACCGCTTTGTGGCTATATGTAAACCTTTGAGATATATGGTCATCATGAACTACAGAGTTTGTTCTGTCTTGGCCATTGTGACTTGGGTGGGTGGCTGTGTCCATGCTATCATTCTAACTTCCCTCATCTTCCAGTTACCCTATTGTGGCTCTAATGAGGTAAGGTACTACTTCTGTGACATCCCTGCAGTCTTATTGCTAGCCTGTGAAGATACATCTCTAGTTCAAAGGGTAGGCTTTACCAATGTTGGTCTTTTGTCTCTTGTTTGCTTTTTCCTTATCCTTGTCTCCTACACTCGCATTGGGATTTCAATTTCAAAAATCCACTCAGCCAAGGGCAGACATAGAGCCCTCTCCACCTGCAGCGCCCACATTACAGCCATCTTTTGTGCTTATGGGCCAGTCATCATCATCTACCTACAGCCCAATCCCAGCCCCATGCTTGGTGCTATAATGCAGATACTGAATAATCTGGTAGCCCCCATGTTGAATCCACTGATCTATAGTCTGAGAAATAAGGATGTAAAATTAGCATTGAGGAATATATTTTCCAAGAGAAACTTTGCACTGGAGAAAAAAATAAGAAAACCTTAAGCTTTGCTGGATACAGTTTGATTCTGATTTTGAATAAAAATTTTCATCTGGAGATCCCAAGGCAATTGAGAGGAAATCTACTCTTAATTGATTTACTACCTACACTTGCTAACTTTTAAAGTATGCATCTGTTTTTATATCATCCTGTTTTATCATGAAATAGAATCCATAGTCACTGAGCAGACATTATATTGACTCTTGTGTATGGATTCTCTCCCAATACCACCATCTCCAAAACAGATTCCTCAGTTCTTTAAATCTTTAAAAAAGTTAAGAGAATGCATTTGCTAATCTTTGTTTCTCAGTGCATTCATGTACATCTAGAGGGAAGAGAAAGCCTTATCTTTCTCCGGTGGAATCGCTGGTCGTTTCAAACTGCTGTCCTTGAGGTTAGCAGCCTGACTCATAACCTCATTTTTCTTCTGAGGAGCAGCTGGTGGACTAGAATCACCAACCTTGTTGTTCCCAGACCAGTGTTTATCCTGGAGAGCTACCACACTGCCTAAGGTAGCAATAATAAATTTTGTCTACTCATTGAATATAATGTTTATTCCTTTCTCATAATAAAATTTACACAAATTGATTTGCTTCCTTTATACTCTATATTCAAGGATGCTGAGGAAAACATGTACATTTTATTTCATAAAAATGTTGAATTTTATAACTAATGTATTTTTATTCCTCTTTTTCTCATTTTGTTTTCCCCTTCTTTTTACATTTACTAATATGTTGTTTATGAATTTTCTTGTAAGTCATATTAAGCACAATTTGGATATAAGTAGGAAATAAATAATGCTGTAAAATATAAATAGATATATACATAGACAAAATAAGACTGTATTTTAGAAGAAAACCAGAATGCTTCAGAATGCCAAGTTTAATATCTGCATTCCCATAACTTAAATTTCTGTCTATTAATGCAGGTGTTTGAAAATTCATTCCCTGTGAAAATTCATTCCCTGTGTGAAAACTGTAAGATGTCACTATTGATTGTGGAATGAGCTACTAGAAAAAATTTAATGGGCTCCAATGAGAAGAGATGGTAGACATTAGTGCTTTCTTGTTTGCTGTATAAGAATCTTTAATGTGAGATACTGTCATTTCACCGCACACACAAAAATGGGTAGTCATTCCTGCAAGAAATCAAATAGACACTAATCTAATTTCAAGCAACCTTAGAGACACTGAAGGTTTTTTTCAGATAAGCGATTGGATTGAAACATTAACATGCTAACTATTAAAGGATAAAATGTAATAAAGGTTCAGTTTTACTTTGTCTTTTTAATGTACTCATCAAACAATTTGGTAACTATCCATTAGAGCAAGGTGATTATAATCTCAAATGTTCTGCTAAATAGGAAACTCAAACATTTTTGCTATCACTTGATTTGATATGTAGTCACCTCTTTCTTTCTTCTTCTAGACCAGGAGTGCATACTAATTGCATTTCATCTTTCTAAACGTAAACAGCTATGTTTTCTTCCTTCTACTGTGAATCTTGGCATACAAATGGTAAAGTAGACAGTTGATGTTTTACAATCTCCAATTTTCTGATATTTGATAACACACACACACTTTTTCTTTAAAAATTTTACCTTTTGTCACTAAAAAACAAAGAGGGTGATAGTATAAAATAATTAATACTTGTCAACTTATAAAGTTTAAGAAACTCTCCAGATCTTCTCTAATAATTTTTCTATAATATATATTAACATCTAATTTTATCTGATCCAGTCTTCCTTTTCTCTTCCAGCTTCCACACCTTCCATCTAAGAGTTAGATTTAAAACTTAATGCCTGTACTCTGGCTGCTCCCATAAAGATTTAAAGGCTCAGGGTTTCTATGCAGTGAATTTGGGTAATGTATTTTTTTTTTTTAGCTTGGACTCAGAAATTTCTTTAATTAAAAATGGCAGAAACAAAACTAGAATTCAAGTATTCTGATTTGCACTTTAGTTCTCTCTCTGCTTCACAAACTTAAAATGTCAATTGAGAAATTTATGGATGAGTTTGATGCTACAAACTGGTTGTTCTCCAGATAAATCAACATCAAAATAATTGTACTGAATAAAAAATAACCCCTCATTTTGTTGTAGAAGAGCTATACCTGTTCAAATTTTTATTGTTCCTAGCATATAATATGGAGTCCTGGTGTGGCGCTGTGGGTTAATATGCTGAACTGCAAAGCCAGCTTGAACTGCAAGGTCAGCAATTCAAGCTCGCCAGTCACTCCTTGGAAATACTATGAGTTACTATGGGTTGAAATCGACTCAATGGCACTTAACAATAACAAGGATATAATATATAAAAACTTTTAAATGTCTCTCTCTTTATATATGTATATATATATATTTTTTTCTAATGGAATCATTTTATAAATAGATTTCTTCTGATAAATCATCCCTAGAAATCATCTTTTATTTATTTATAATTTAGAAATAATTCCAAATTTATAGAAAAGTTAAAAGATAGTTCAAAACATCCATGTATATACTATTTATGTAGATTCCAAGATAGTAACATTTTATTATTTAGGCTTACTTTCTTTCTCTGATTTTTTTTCTGAACCAGAGTAAGTTTTTGATATAATGAATTGTTGACATAATCTTGCTTTTGCCTACATACCCTACTTAACGTGTGTTTCCTAAAAACACACAAAAACATTAATACAAGGACCTAATTTGCAGATTTTCTTCAGACTTCACCAATTTTCCTAATAATGCCTTTAATAAAATAAATTCCAGGATTGTATCTTGTATGATGTCAGTTTTCTTTTATTTCCTTTTATAAAAAATAGTTCCTGAGTCATTCTTTGTATTACATGTAATTAATATTATAGGAAGAATTTAGGCCTCGTATTTTGTAGAAAAGGAACCCTAGAAACGTACTGGTTTAAAGCTGGACTACTAACCAACCAAAAGGTCAGCAGCTTGAATCTACCAGCCACTCCACAGAGAAAGATGAGCCTTCCTGCTTCCATACAGATTTACAGCCTCAGAAACTCTATACAGAACTGACTCAATAGCACACAACCACGATTTTGTAGAAGGTAGCTGTAATTGAATTCATTTGATACTTCCATCTGATTAGGTTCAGGTTATGCTTTATTGGCTGGATTAACAAAAAATGATGTTATGTTTCTCTCTGTACATTATAACAGGAGACACTTGCTATGAATTAATCCCATTACTAATCATTTTGATTAAGGTAGTATCTGTTAAGTTCCTCAACTGCAAAGTCACTATTTCACCTTACCTAATTCTGGTAGCATAGTGGTTATGAATAGGGCTGCGAATCTTAAGGTCAGCAGTTTGAGACTACCAGCCACTCTGCGGGAGAAAGATGAGGCTTTCTGCTCCCGTGAAGATTTACAGCCTTGGAAATCTTGTACAGGGTCGCTATGGGTCGGAACCAACTCAACAACACTTAACAACAACAACAACAATTAATAATACTTTTGTGAGGGGGTATTTTGATATTATATAAACATTATATGGCACCTCAATATTTTACCTGCTAGTTTTCATGGTTTCTGGATTGGAGGAAGACTAATTAATAACCTGTGATCTGCAAATGACACAACCTTGCTTGCTAAAAGCTAAGATAACTTAAAGCAGTCACTAATAAAGATCAAAAAGTTCAGTTTTGAGTATGGTTTGCAACTTAATGTAAAGAAAACAAAATTTCTCACAACTGAACTAATAAACAATATCACAATAAATAGAGAAAAGATTGACGTTGTCAAGGATTTCATTTTACTTGACTCCACAATCTATGCTCATGGAAGTGGTTGTCTAGAAGTCACACGATGTTATTGCATTGAAAAACTCTGCTGCAAAAAAACTTTTTTAAAGCGTGAAAGAGCAAAGATGTCATTTTGAGAGTTAAGGGACGTTAGACACAAGCTATGGCATTGTCTTATATGCATGTGAAAGCTGTGCAATGAATAGGAGTATCAAAGAAAAATTGATGTGTTTGATTTCTGTTGTTAGTGAAGAATATTGAAATTACCACAGACTGCCAGAAGAACAAATATGTACTTGAAGAAGTGAAGTCAGAATGCTCCTTAAAAGCAAGGATGGTGATACTTCATTTCACATACTTTAGACTTGTTATGGGGAGGGATCATTTCCTGGAGAAGAATATCATGTTTGGTAAAGTAGAGGGTCAAGAAAAAAGAGGAAGACCCCCAACAAGATAGACTGACTCAGTGGGCTTAAATAACAATTTGGAAGGCAGTGCTTTGTTCTGTTGTACATAGGGTCGCTATGAGTGGAAGCCAACTTGACACTATCTGACAGCAACAACAACAACAAGTTTAGCATCTGTGGATATTTTTTACCTGATTCCGTTATTATTTTAATAGTTACGAAGTAGTGATTTCAACCAATTTCATCATTTCTTCTACACCAAATTGACTTTCAACTGAATGTATGCATATGATAGCTGCCTGAGAAAGTCTGTCAGGTAGAATCATGAAATAAGATTCCCATACTTGTGCATCATCTCTTACTGGAGAAAGTGTTTCCCTCTTAGGAGAGGAGATATAAAGGATATTAAAGGAAGATGGCTTTAGTGTACTAGAGTGCTTCTAAGTTCTCTTCCAACTCCGGAATATTGATTTTGAGATTGCAGATCTCTTAACTGTGGACCAATTTATCTGGTTAAAAAAATGGGGATAGGAGCAGAAGAAGGACTGGCAAATGAGTGATGATAATAGAATTGATGGCATTTTTTACCTCTTGGCATGAAATCATTCCTGAATTAGTCAAGAAATAAAACACAATTCTTCCCTTTACTTGTTTGGTGCCAGCTAATTGCAAATGTTATATCTGAAACATTAATCAAGGTCACAAGCAATTTACAGGATTGATTTATTTTAATGGCATAGAAGATGAATGGCATAGTCAGGATATACAAGGGTAAGTCAAAAAAATATTTCTATAAAATCATAGAAACCTTTTGCACATAAAATATCAAAATGTGAAGCAATTGGCTTAG